GGCCAGAAAGGAGGAGGGACTTATTTAGGGTCACACGGATTAGCAGTGCAGAGAGGGATCCAGAGTTGGGTGGCAATCACCGTGCTGGGCTCTGCTTGAGAGGTATATGGGTAAAGCAAGCAGCTGGCATGTGGCAGGACAGGGAAATATGGGCTCCCCTCTCTGTCTTGGAGGAGTTCTTGGGATCAGGACAGGGCCTATGGCCTGAATGAGGGGCAGGAAGATGGCAGAGAGAGCATAAGGGAGATGGGCTGACAACAGCCCTGAGCAGCGGAGGGCACAAGGTCCCCCTCGCTGACCAAGCACTCTCCCATTGATCAAGCATCCTACAAGCCCAAGACAAAGCCTGAGTGGTTAGATGGCACATTCCTTCACAGACAACAAAAGGGTGGATTAGTTCAGAGCACAAAGCACAAGGAGGTTACTGACCCTACTCAGCACTAACCTGGTCGGAGAGGCCAAAGTACTTACAAGTCTCTCCTGTGGTCAGACTGAGGATTGTGGGGGTGGTTCCTTGGGACTGGAATAAAACATGTGCAGTGTCTATGAGGCCAAGGACAGAGGCCATGAAGATGAGGTCAAAGGCCATCAGGCTTGCTTAGCTAGGTTGGAGTGTGCGTTTGGGTCACCCTCCTAAGACCCCTGGCCTGAGCCTTCTGGGAATCCTCTGCAAAAATGGGACCAGCCGCCCACTTCAGAGGTTATAGCTGGGATTCATGCAGGGCTGGCTGTTTCAAACCCACAGGACTTGCAAAGAGGTGTTAGCAGCACTTGGAGATGCTACTAGCGTTTTTCAGAAGCACGTTGCATTTTCACAACAGCAAACACAAAAAGGGCATTTGAAAACACTTGGGAAACCATGAATTCAAAGTAAAAGCTATGGCTTTTTGAGGCCCTACTGTGTGCAGGACACTGTGCAAGGTGCTTTATAGAGTCAACTCTAGTCCCGATGGCTGTCACCAACCCACAGTGGAGCAGCCAAAACCAGATGGTTATTTAATGCAAACGAACCCAGATAAACCCTTGTCATGCTATCCTCAGAGGGAAGACTGCTGCACATCCAGTTTTACACATTCACAAGGCTTTTATTTGTGACAAAAGCGTCTTAGTTCTCAGAAACGGCAACACAGAGATATTCTTCTTTGGGAAACAGACAGGCCAGAACCCTAAACTGTGGGAGCCAGACACATCTGAAGGTAGAGTTATGGCTTACAACATGTGTGCATTCAAACACGTGTTTATTAAGTTACATCAAAAACAAAGAGCTCCTTCCCCAAAAACTCTCTCCCCAGTGTGCAAGGTCTGTAAGTGCTTTTCATTTTTTAAAAAAAAAGATTTTATTGGGGAATTGGGGGAGGGGAACAGTGTTGGGGAATCGGGGAAGAGGAATAGACAAGTTGCTGTCCTTTTATTCTTTAGTCTAGTTGTGGAGGACGTCNTCTGGGAGGGAGCATTTTAAGATTCACCTTCAATGCCCCCTCCTTCAAAAGCCTTCTCTATCCCCCTCCCATTTGGGGTTCTTCCACCCCTATCCCTCCTTCCAGCCCAGCACTGATCCAGAGCTTTTGGGATGTCTGGGTCCAGTTCTGTCTTCCCCAGCCTGGGGCCTCCTCAAGGCTGGGCTCAATGTGTGGCAACACCAAAGGGGCATCTCCATGGGTTTCCTGAAGAACTGGAGAGCCAGGGAGAGGTCTGAGTGGTGGAGAGGCATGGGCATCAAGTGTGGGGCATCCAGAGGCCTGACTGGGGGATATGGCAAAACTAGGAAGGGGCTTCCCAGGGGTAGGACCCTCTGGGGGTACAGAGCAGGCCTGAAACAAAACCAGGACTTGGATCAGGGGATAAGGACAAAAAGCCAAACTGGTCTGAATCCTGCCCTGACCACTGCAGGACAACCCCTGGCACTGCTGCCCTCTTGGGCCTCCTTTTTCCCCATCCACAGATCTGAAGGAGCCTTGGGTGGGGGTGGGGGGTTGGTGGTGGTGAAGCCACACTTCACCAGAACTGGGATCCCTTCCAGGTCACCCCCACTGTCATGGGTACTAGACTCCTGCTTGAATGCCCCGTGGCACTGGGAGATCACTGTCTCTCTCCCAGCTGCCCACCTACCTCTGGGGCTCTGCTGGGAGCAAGTCCTACTGAGCTGGAATGCCACACCTTCCACCCCAACTAGAAGGGAAGGCCGCCATGTGTGTCCAGGAACACATGGGGGCAGATGCAAGATCCTGCTGAGTAGTCCAGCCTCAAGGAGCCTTAGTTCGCTCTCTGAAAAATGGGAGCGAAGATGTATGGGGTGAAAAAGGGTTGAGAGTCACAATGTGCCCACCAGGATCAGCTAGGACTGCAATGGCCGCTTAGAGGCTGAGCGCCCAGCCAAGCCTTTGCCTCTTGCGCCCCCTGGCGGCCAGCTGGGACGGGGGCGTTCGCCCATCTTGAATGGAGAGGTGGCCATGCAAATGAGATGCAAATTAGCCAACGACCCTGAGGGCCTTCCGCCTCAGTGTGAGTGATCTGATAGCCCAGAGTCCTGCACAGACCTCTTTGTGAGGGTTATTTGTCTCTGGTTGAGGTTGCATCCAAGGGTTGCGGGTGATGGGGAGCCCTGGGAAGGTCTGGGGCACCCACAGCTGCCCCCCACTAGTTCACTGCGCCCTTGGGATATACACAGTTGGGATATACACAGTTACCTCACTTAGCTGCCAATCTATCCCCAGGTCTGAGCCCTGGGGCCAGGGCTGGCCTGTCTTGCTCACAGGACCCGGCCAACAGAGAGTGTTCGATGCTTGCTGGGTAAATGACTGCATTATGGACAGGTGAAAGGGCAGACAGGCAACTAGTAGTACTTTCAGAGCATGTGCGGAGTGACTCTGTGGGGGCCACACACCAGTCAGGGCCTCAGTGAGATGGACTTGAGGCTCAAAATGAGTTGGGGCAGTGGGGAGGCAGGATGGCAGCACAGAGCCACCCCCCACCCCCAATACACACTAGGAGGGAAGGGAGAGGACTGACCCCCATTTCCTGGCAATGTGAAGTGGTTCTTCCTTGGCACCTCCTGTACCCCTAAACCTCCTCCCAGGTCCTTAGGCCCCTCCACGGCCCTGACATCCCACTAGGACCCTATGTCTCTCCCCTAAGCTGCCCCTGGCCCTTGCAACCTCTTTTTCACAGCCACCTACAGTGCCAAGGAACATGTGGGGGAGCAATGGGCCTGGGACCCACCCTGCTATACTCCAAACCACTCCATTCTGATCTTCCTGATACATTTTGCTTACACTATACTGACACACAACTGGCCTTGGAGCTATACAGACAGTGGGCCATGACCTTCTAGGCCTAGAATTCAAAGGGATCAGTGTGGCCTCTTCTGCAGTCAGCAGAAATAAACTCAAATTTTGGCAAATACAAAATACCCACTAGTGTCGGGTACAGCTGGATCCAGGACCCCATGCAATGTTCTCAGGTCCCCCCTTCCATCTGTCCAGTTCAACAACCCCGGTAAAAAGGTACTGTTCCCACGCTTCCAGCAAAATTCCCAGGGGAGATCTCTCATTGGGTCACATGTCTATCTCAAACCAATCGGTGACCTGGGTGATGGGGATCCCACATCCACTCCTGGGAGCCACATGACCTGAGCCTGGGGTGGGTGTTTCTGCTTGAGGCAGAATGCAGGCCAGGCTGGCAGCTACATGAATGTCCACCTCAGCCTGTGGAGAAGGTCCAGTCCAGCCTTCCTTGTTCGGATAGAGAAAGGGAGGACCAGAGGGCCAGCTCTAGGTCCCCCATCACACGGCATGTCAGAGGCATGGCTAGGACTAATGCGGGCAGGAGTCTACCCTCCTCAAGCTGTGTGACCTTGAACAAGTCACACCTCTTGGGGGCTCTCTTTTTCCATCTGTATTTGGGGGTGACACCTGCCTTACAGGGCTGTCTGATGAAATATAACCGTTGTAAAGCCCCCAGCACAGTGCCGGGCACACAGTGGGTGATCAGTTGGGATTATCACAATGGCAATTATTGGTCTAAGGGGCCATGGCTGATGTGGGGTAGAAGTCCAAGGGCAAAGTCTTGTCTTGGGACATTCACGGCTGGCCTGGAGACTCTGGGCAGGAGCGGGAAGACCACACTGGCCACATTTGCTCTGTCTTCAGTCCCTGCTAGGTCCCACAAGGTTGTGTCCAAGGGCCCAGCTCTGGTCAGGCTGGGGGAGCAAGGGATGAGGGTCAGGGCAAGGAGGTCTGAGAGGCCCCCAGTGCTGCAGGGTCACCCTGATGAGGTAGCACCTGAGGTAGGAGCCTGACAGGGCCTGGGGAAGAAAAGAAGCCTGGGAGGTTGGAGGGCCTGGGTGTGTCTCCGCAATTCCAGTCACGGGCAGTGACCCCCACCTTGCCTATCTGAGCCTCAGTTTCCTCTTCTGTAAAATGAGGCTGTATGTAGGACCCTGAGAGAGGCATGTGAGGACAGAGGCTGGGAGAAGTTGAAACTTGACCCAGTGAAAGACACAAACAACCTGGGGGGAGCAGCTTGGGGAAAAGTGGGAATGGAAGCTCTGAGAGGGGCAGTGGGGCAGCACTTCTGGGAAGAAGTGGATCTGGGCCTGTAGGAACAAAAAGGGGTCAGGAGGAATACAGAGCTTTCTGCTCAGAGGGGGTACAGCAGTGGAGGGACAGCAGATCATGCAGGATGTGGGGAGGGGGTCCTTGAGGTGTAGGGGTGGGAGGGCCCAGGGTACAGGTGATACTATGGGGAGACAGTGGGGGTGTTGAGCCCAGGGATGGCGGGCAACACTGGGCAGGGCACTGGGGTGAGCTGCTGACCCCTCAGCAGCCACTCCTGCCCCAGGCCCTCCAGATATCCTCCAGACAATCCCACAATCCCCCAGGCCCAGAGCTAAGCCTGGCACACAGCANACACAGCAGCACACTGAGACCTCCAACCCCAGCCCAGCGCACATATGACATTCAAAGGACACCATACGAGCCTCGTCCCGAAGCGACACGCACCTGCTCCGCCTGGACCCTCGGACGCGCGCGCACCAATCTGCAGCAGCAGCACAGAGCGCCGAACGCCCCGCCGCCGCAGGTGCCTACAGAGCCATAGGCCCCGCCCCCTGAAGCTGATTGGGCGGAGCGGTTTATTTGCATGGAGGGCGTGCCCACGGACTGCGATGGGCGGGTACGTGGGCGTGGCCCCGCCTCGTGAGTTCAGGGGCCGGTGACTCAGACTGGGAAAGAGGCTGAGGTGCGTCAAGTGAGGCAGTGGGAACTAAGGAAGACGCTGGAGCAGGCTCGCCAGGCTTCCCCCACCCACACTGGGCGCCCCGACCCTAATTTGGACCCTGTCTCTAACCACTGCCAGCCCCAATACTGTACTTACTCCATTCTGAGTGAAATATAACTCTGACCCTAATAACCCTAGGGACTGAGCTCTTCTGGAAGCCAACACTGACTCTTGCTCTCACCCAAATGGAGAGACTGCAGAAAGGGGCTTTGTGGTGGCCTGTGTGGCCTCGCCCATTGACAGTAGGGTGACAGACCCCTCAGCTGCTGGGCGCCCTCCTCCACTTCAAAGGTCAGCTGATGGGAGGGCTTCCAGGACTGGCCCCCAGCCCAGACCTCTAAATCCACATTCTCCTTGGGATCCCAGTACCACCCGGCACAGGGCCAGGCCCAGAAGGGAGTCAAAGGAGGGTTGTTGAGTGAATTAATGTGAAAAGAATTACAGGATGAAGATGACATTGGACTGGGTAATCCTGGAGAAACCCGCAGCCTGGAGGAGGTAGAGTGGCAGCCCCATATTCCCCCAGCCCTGTGGGGTCAGAACTGGGCAAGAGGGGTCAAAGAGGGCTTCCTAGAAGAGGGGGCGCTTGTACTGGGCCTTGAAGCCTGAGTAGGGGTTTGCCACTGGGAGAAGGGTTTTCCAAGAGGGAACAGCCCTGTAAAGGTGCAGAGGAAGAATGTAGAGCTGTTTGGTGGGGAGATGAGGGAGATGAAGCCAGGGCAGGAGCAGACAGGGTTGGGAGCCCAGGGAGAGGCTGGGAGATGGCGAGGAGGGGGTTGATTTGATGAAGGGGGTGGGGGCAGGTTGACTACAATGGCTACCTGGTATCCACCTTTTCAGAAGACAATAGGAGATGTCTGTATCCCTGGACTCGGGGGAACATGTGGAGATACCATGTGTGTGGGACACTGAGGCAGGAAACAGGCTTTTGCTTCTTCCCACACCTCAGTTTACCTGTCTGTGACATGGGCAGTTTGGACCTATAGCCTGGGCACAGATTTCTTTTTGGGCATAAAAACTAGGGTTCACACTGTATCATAAGGTGGGGATCAGGGGGTCCTGACTACCCCCGCCACCTGCCATGGCCTCTCAGTGTCCAAGGACACAATGGGGCCCAGGCTGGTCTGGGGGCTTCTGCCTTGGCTCCAAGGTGCAGAACAAGGCTTGGATAGTGTGGAGGTGGCTGGGGAGCCCCAGGTCCCCCAAGGGCTGCTCTGTTTACCTGCAGCTGCCTGCCTGTCTCTGATGCAACAGGCAGGCTCTGGTTACATAAGGGCGGCAGCTGGAGCAGCTCTGGGAGCAGCCAGGGCGTGGCAGGAAGGGCTGACCTCAGCTGAGTTGGCTGGNTGGTGGCGGGGAGGTTGCAGCGCTCACCTGCAGGCATACTCCACTGTGTAGATGGCTCCCTGGCTCTGCTCCTCCCACCGCTGCATGTCAGCCTGTGGAGGACAGGGGGGCTGTTAGCAGTGGGGGCTGCCATCTCCATCCTTCCAGCTCTCTGAAATGGAGCACCCGATCGCCACAGCCGCAGAGGCTGACCCCTTCTAGCCCCTGACCTTTCTTTCTACAACTCCTCTCCCAAGCCAGTCCAGGCCAGGCTTTCTGTGAACATTTGGCTACCATGCCTTGGGGCCTTTGCATTGACTGTTCCCTCTGCCTGGTATGCCCTTTCCTCCAGTCTTCACACAGCTGTCTCCTTCTCACCATACAGGTCACAATTAATGTAGGTCTGCTGTCCCCTTTTTCCAAATCTGCCCCACATCTGCCCACCCACAGCCCTAACCTGGCTCGGTGACCACATGCCTCCTTGCTGGTGTCCCAACCTTGACTCTTAACCCAAAAGCTCCTGCTCCACCAGCAGGCCCCAGCTCATTATGTGGGAACTCTGAGAGCATTGGTGGTAGGGGTGCAAGGGGCTCACCTTATGCTGAGCCAGCTCTGGCAGAGAGCGGCGCACGTGTTCCTGCAGCCGGTACAGGGCCACAGATGGCTCATTGGCCAGAACATAGACGCTCTCAGTGAACTTGTCCGTGACTGGGTCCAGAATCAATAGTTGGAGTTGGAGGGCGGCAGAACAAAGGAGATGGAGCAGGACACAGACACAAAGAGACAAAGCATAAGACTTCTGATTGCCTGACCTATGGGTCCAGCCAGAGCGATGAGGAATGTCTGGTCCCACCCCCAACAGCAGCCGGGTCACCTGTGGCCCAGAAAATGGGTTGAAAGAGATGGTCACAGAAGACCTCACTCATGATATTGTTAATGCATCCAGTGAACTCGTGATCTTTCCCCTCCGAAGCCCANGCCACTCAGTCAGCCCTGCTTTTCACTTTTAGTCCATCTGATCCTCGGCTCAAAGCCTCCATCAGCTCTAGGTGCCCAACCTGCTGCCCACCTCCATGACCCTGTCTACCTCTCACTCAACTGCTCCAGCCACACCGGCCTCCTAGATGTTCCTCCAACACATCCCTCCCCAGACCCAGGGCCTCTGCCCTTGCCACTGGAACACCATCTGGGTCATTTCCATCTGCAAGCCTTTCAGGCCTCTGCTCACACCTCCACTGTCTCCCTTTTTTCCTTTGCACATGTCTGAAATGCTCTGGTCTGTTACTTGTTTACCTGATTGCTATGTGTCTCCCCATGAGATCAGGAGCACGCCTGTCCCAGTCACCTCTGTGTCCCCAAGACCCAGGGCAGGGCACACAGCAGAGCTCAGGATCCAGATGCTGAGTGACTGAACTCTCCCACCACAGATGTCAATGAATGAGAGGAAGCCACCAGATACCATGCGATGAGGAAAGGAAGCTGGCTAAGGAGTAAGAAGCGGTGGTTCCTGGGTGAGTGGCGAAGGTCCTTCCAGTGAGGAGGCTGAGCAACAGGGGTAGGTGGTCCCAGGAGCTACCTGTGGCCCTGAGTGGCGGCATTCATGTGGTCTCGGATGCTGATGGCCTGTTTGAGGAGACCCTCCACACTGCGGAAGTAGACGCTGCTATCAACAAGGTTCTTCACAGCGCTGAAATGGGAAGATGAACCCAGTCAGTGCCAACTTTTGCCCCTCTCCCAGAACTCAGCAGGTACCTGGAGGGATTCTGTAGGCCTCCCTGAGGGCTCATTGTGAGTTTAAAGTTTAGATTTCCCTACAGGACATTATGTAACAGAGCACTCGATGGCAATCCCTGCTGCTAGACCATCTAATGTTCTGAAGGAGCTATAAGCATGTAAAGATCGTCTCAAAAAAATCTTGCTTTTCTCCCAGGTAACCTATTCCTGTCTCTGAAGGAAGCTTATCAACTCGACTGGATAGTTCTGGAAGTGAGTTTAGATGGAACCAGGATAACTCACCAGTTAGGGGGCACTGCTGCAAAGCTGTGCTCAGCTCTAGTGTTAGCACCACACTGATGAATGTCTAATGAAAATGTCCCTTCCAATGGCACTATAGGATAACGCTTAACAAGCCATGCG